TGCCTTCAATTTCTTATTGTAAAACTAATAAAAAAAGGAAAAAAAAGAAAAAAAAGTAACCTACAGAGCACGTCAGTGTATACTCCAAACACAAACCGCGGTAGCTTAACACTATATATCTTTACCGGACAACTACGTTTGAGAAATCTTTTTTGGGTAGTTCAGAGTCAGACACAATCTTTTTCAGATAGGTCAGACACTAACCAGACAGACATCGATATTTGTAAAGTTTAAGCCGTTAAAAGTTTATATACCTCGATATCATAACCACTATAGCTCATCACTGCAACCGTCGCATTTTGACCTTAAAAAATTGTTTGTAAATCATTTATAGATTCTTACGTAAAGGCTCATAAGGGTCACGTATGTTCTGTATGGGATGAAGAGTGCCATATGACCAGCAAACATTCCAAGGTATTCAGGCAAAACGAAATTAAGTACGGAAAACGGAAATCTGACATGTCTTCGCATGAAATATGATTGGATTGATGGGACAAGATACGAGTCAATTTAATGTGTTTGTGTATTATGCAATTGTACACCTTCCTGTTCAAACTTGTGGTTTCAGGTCGATCTTTAACCATATGCTTTGTGTACTGCATTTGAAAGACTTTGAGAGTCTTAAGTTTGCAAGATTTCGCCAAATTTAATGTCATTTGGTCTATCGAAAATGTCGCGAGAAATATTGCCTCGAAAAATATAATCATTGCATGCATGGTATACCAGTGAGATACGGCTAAAAATCTTAATCATCGCAACCTAACCATTGGAGGAGTTTTGGGTGCTGCCTAACCTGAGTATCAGGCCCTTATGTTTTCATTCGCCAGGATTAATTGGCGGCGGCGAATGAAGGAGAGCCTGATACAATTCTTTACCGCGGCGCATGTAAAAAGCCAGATTCTGGCTTTTTCGTCTGATTGGCCGATTAGACAAACGATTTTTTAAATCTGTCATTTGATTGGCTGGTGCTAATTAGATTATACTATTGTTGTTGATATATTTTATAACGATCACAACTACAATTATAGCCGGCCTACTAAACGGCTGAATTTAAATTAGAAACTGCAGTAAAATTAGAAAATAATTGCAAATTAGCGAAATATATTGCAAATGTAGCTTAGTATATTAAATTGCCATCAGATTGCACTATCGACTAACTGACGTATAGTTATAAAGTATACTTAATATATACTTTATAATTGTATGTCAGTTTGTTGATAAATACGGTATTATAAACGCCATATAAAGCTTATTGTAGTCACTGAAACCTCTGCGGAGGAGAGAGCAATCGGGTGGCGATTTAATATAAGCTGCATTTGCAATATATTTCGCTAATTTGTGATTATTTTTGTTAGTTTTATACTCATTGCAGTTTAAATTTAAATTCAGTCGTTTAGTGGGCTGCCTATGCTATAATTAGATTGTTGTTGTCGTTGTGTGAAATTTAAATTTCTCCTGCGACATTTTGATTGGATACTAAATATAAACTTTGCTGTGGGTGGAAAGCGATCAGGTTAAGTTTTGTGTCAGGCTCTATTTGTAAAATAGAGCCTGATACTCAGGTTAGGTGCTGGCAAATATTTTGAAGATCAAGGGAGATTTTGTTAAAACACTATACTTGTGAAGGATTTGTAAGAAATGTCTCGAGTATACTTACCGGCAGGCAGTTCGTCAAAATGAATTAAATCGATAGTCTAAATAGAAACACACATACGTTAGAACATCGCGTTGTCATCTTAATCTTGACATGCATCAAGGGTCTGATCCTAAGGTACAAATACAGATACCATAAAAGAGTCCTACGGGGGCACTATCATGGGGATCCATGCTCAGAAAATGTTGAAAATCAGGTGACTTAGATATGCTAAAAATGCATTTGCCATACAACATTTGTTACATCATTCTATAATCTATGCATTTATACACTATCGTACATTTAAGATGGATGCACTATAATTGCATTTTTGAGGTCATATCTACAGTACAGGTAACATTAGAGTTCAATATAATTCTGAAAACTTGGTCTGACATTGATCGGACACTTAATTATTCTCAAGAGGGACGTTGTCAGTTGGCACAGTGCTATAACCCAAAACCGTAACAACTATCAAACGTCCAAAACCATATGCATATATGCAGAACGGTTAACAAAATTACACAATATCAACGACAATCAACTTACTCAGTAACAGTATATATAATATAAAATATTTCTCTTAACACACGAGATGACATTGCTATTGTGTGGATTCGGTGACGAAGTGAAACTCTGTGATTGTCTATAAGCAGACGGAATCTTTGTTTGCATGTGTTAAGAATTACAGATTTTTTAAAAAGTTTTGCAACAATAAAGGAAAAAATAGTCAAATTAATGTAACAAAACGGTCGGCCATAATGTCCGTGCAGAGCAATCAGTAGACGGCCATATCAGCATTTTGCTCGGCTAGTGGCCGGTGGCCGACCGTTATATTGATCCCTAGGTAACATTCTTTCTATTGGTTAGAATTTTTCCACTGAATTTCTCCTTTTATCTAAATTATTACAATTATCTTTTTTTCTTTCGTGGAGAAATATTTGCTCCGAATTTTTTGGGACCAATGGTCCGATACTTTTTCTGCCCCTGGGAAATAGCCCCCACACTATGGGGCGTGGTGGCTGTATGGTAGCGTCGCCCCATACCTCGCTAACTTCTGCAGCCATGAAGCAGTAAATAAATATAATACAATAGAAATGATTTTACCTTCGTTTTAACCATCGGTGCTTGTGGATAGACAAGATTGTACAACAGCGAATCAATCCTGAAATTAAGCAAAGCGAAAGGTAAATGGTTGATTTGAAAATAAAGCTCCAATCAATGGGCATCATAGATTAAAATGGGAAAGAGCAAACAACATTACCTGTTTCTCTGATTATATCCAATTGTACCTGTTAAAACAACAGCGTCGTTAATTATATTTCATACTAAAATGCCTATTTTTTATAGTAGAAGGGCCGTAAATAAAAAAGGGTGCATATTCATATATTCTTGTTTACATACGGTAAAAACCATCGCCTTCAAAAGAAATCAGTAGGGCAGAACACAAATATATGAATATGCACCCCCCCCCCCTTGCCTACCGTCAAGCACTCATCCACGTGGCCACTTACAATTGCGACTGACCATTTTTTAACAGACGACCATGGAAAGCCTAAGAAACAGTTTTCTTTAAACGGCAACTCGCAAGTTTTGTAATATTTCTAGGACAGTTTTTTACAAAGAAACATCAACCGTTTGTCACTAATTTATAAATTCCTGCATGTGTTGTTGCCGATAAATTAAATAGAAATCCAGAAAATTATTTATACCTCTGGGAATTGATCCGCATGTAAACAGCTAAAAATACTTAAACTAAGTATACCAAATGACCAAGACAAATTCAACAAAAATAGCTGTATGTTGAATTCTGCATGGGATAGTACATTCCATAATGGTTGTATCGTATAAATAAAGTCTGTTCCTCAAGCTTTATATTCTAAGCTTCTAGCCTTACCCATTGCTTGTTTTCCCATAGCACATTGATAAGTATTTCTTGGTGACTGATTATGATGCGGATAAGGTATAAGACCTGCACAAACACCAAGGATAGTAAATGGTTCAATCTCCAAATGAGTTGTATCCCTAAAAATATTACAAAGATAGACCTTTTTACAGAAATACAAACAGCGAAGGAACAAAGCAAAGTGTTCATGTTAGAGAAGTGCCCTTATTAGAGAGGTGTTCACATTATAGAGGTGTCCGTATTAGAGAGGAGTCCGTATTAAAGATGTGTCTGTATTAGAGAGGTACCCATATTAGAGGGGTTGCTATATTAGAGAATATCCGCATTAGAGAGGTGTCCGCCGTATTAAAGATACATCTGTATCAGAGAGGTGTCCGTATTAGAGAGATGTCTGTATTCGATAGGTGCCTATGTTAGAGAGGTATCCATATTAAAGGATGTCCGTATTAGAGAGGTGTCCGTATTAGAGAGGTGTCCGTTTTAGAGAGGAGATATTGTTTGGAAGTGCATTTGTGTCATCTCTCTAACATAGACGCATTACTCTTTAGTTTACCGCAGCGAGAAAGACTGTGGACTTACTTTGAGATATGTTTCTCATAAACTGCAATTAAACTGTCGTTCTCTTCATTCACATCCAAGTATTCGATTAAACCATCATGAAGAAAGTCTTGAAAACATCTAAATAAAATCACCCAGTTTATTTTAGACAAAACACAAGATTTCTTATTATCCAAAATAAACTAAGCTAACTTTATTAATGCTTGACAGCTCTAGAAATCCTATCTATGCTATTCTGTCTGGATGTCCACTAAGTACAGGACATATATCCTTTATTGTTACTACAGGAAAAAACTTAAACTGACTTGGAGAGAAATTGGAAAGCTCTATCAGTCCCAAACTATTCTTCCAAGATTTTCAGTAAGAGGAATCTGTTATGGTCCCAATCTTACCACTAAAAGAAATCTAAACTAAACTCACTTTATTTCTACGAGATATCTCGCTCAGTTCTAAAGTATTCTGTCTACAGATCCAGAAAAGAACATCCCTTCTTGGCCCAGAGTTACTTAAGAAGAAATGTAACTACACTAATTTTATTTATACTGGGCAGCTCTGTCTAGGCATCACATCATGCAGTCTAGACTGTTCTCTAGAATGATCCGGCAAGTACCGGACTGCCAACCGTTTTACATTATTATTTGTCAGTGGTAAATCAGACAAAAACTATGGCTGTACATTGTAGAGTAATATCTACAAAGGACCCCACGTTTAAGATAAATTTTTCGACTTGGTTTGAATGGAATGGCAACAAAGTATTAGACTACAAGTTGTTTAACCTCCGTTAATAAGTAGAGCACAAACCTTAATCCTCTGTCCAAATCTTGCATATGTTTTTGAGTCACTTTTGGTCGACCTTTCTCAACTATTATGTAAGGTCTAAAATGAAATACGCAACGAAAGTCCTCTATTAAGCCTTACGCCCGTATTCTAAAAGCTCACTCACACTCACACTCAATGAGTGGAAGTTCAATATCAGCTTCCCTTAAGTATCAATGCTGTTTTTGAATAGCTAGAGGGTGAGTAGTCACATAGTAAGGTACGACACTAACCCTCCAGCTATTCAAAAACAGCAATGACACTCGAGAGAAGCTTAAATTGAACTTCCACTCATTAAGTGTGAGTGAGCTTTTAGAATCCGGGCGTTACTCTTAAATAGCCCCCCCCCCGCTTCCCCTTTACAGGAATACATTTATCAAGGACCCACTCTAATAATTCCCTCCCGTTTCACAACTATGCAACATAGATATACAGATTGTCCTATTCAGTATGTTACCAATAAATAGGGCATCTCTCCGTTATGCACCGCCCCCCACACCCACACCCACACTCAAAATTCATGGTTATGGGTTAAGCCGGCAGACGGCGAGACATGAATTTATAATCTTAGGAAAGGGAAAGCAATTGGGCAATCAGGATAAATTTTAGCATCCATGCTGTATGTACCTGCATACTCTGCCGCCATCCGAGGACATGTGGATCGCTCTGTAAAATACACAAATTTCATGGAATGTTATGCCATATTATTATATGGCAAGCATCACTTCCGGTGAAATGGCGGACTGTGATTGGCTGAGAAGCACTTTCAGCGGTCCATTTCCATTACGTAAAAACAAACACATGCATTTTTAAAATAAAACAGCAAAACTGAATAAAATTTGAAAATTATAATTTAACTTGTTATTAATAAGATATCTGCGAATGCTTTTTAGTGGTAAAGGAATACATTGGTATTTTTTTGTTTTCTTCGACCAAATGTGTACCACGCTACTAATATGCATTTCAAATCATGCATTTCTTGTTTGTTTCAAGTATAAATTCCTATAAATGCCATATAATAAAGTTTTTATTAACTTCATTTGCTCGGGATGTACAGAGAAACATCGGACAGACATCGGTCCAATATTTATCTGTACAGACCTCGCGTTCGGTTAATAAGAAGTTATTACAGACTAACTTGTAATTTGAAGTTTTTAAAGGTGCTCTACAGTCCGTATGTAAACAAAGCCTTTGTTTACATTTTTGTATCCAAAATATTGAGCTTTATTCGATAACTATTTATATTTTGAAGCTTCTAGAGTATAATAAATGATCAAGAAACAATAATCAGGCTTTTGAAGAACCCAAAACATAGTTAAACTGTTTGCATCATAAAAAGTGGGCTCCTTTGTGCACATGCTCACATCGGACTGTAGATCACCTTTAAGAGAAGCCCATGGACGGCCTACGGAAAATGTTTTCTAAACAGCAACTGGAACGCGTTATGATATTTTCTTGAGTATCTCAAAAGTCGTCAACTGCTGCGTACTTTATCTATCTAAGTAACTCACCGATTCGTCTCATCCACGTAAATGGAATCAAATTCATTAACACGACCAGCTATACAAATATGACAATAATTAACAACTGCTTGTGAGCTACAGTACTATACTGGGCTACTTCAAATCAAGATTATATAAACACTTTCACAAACTATCATACGAACATACATGTATACCTCGTCTGAGAATTCGGAATGTTCTCACAAACTTTAAATGATTTTGGATCACGCCCAAGATATTGCCTAGAAATAAAGAAACATAATAAAAAAAAAAAAAAGGTAAATATAAGATCTATAAGTGGTGCTATTCGCCTTTACTTGAAGCAGAGAGCTGATTGTCGAAGTGCGTGAACAAACCGATGGCTCTCTCGGTCTTCTCTAGCCTGCCATCATACGAATCATGCCGAATGACAAAGAACAGCTGAGATGGAAGGGTAAAATTTTGTTGAGGCCGGACTAAATCGGAGTACCCGATTAAAAACAAAGCACAGAAATAACAAGCCAGACACTACTTGCGTGAACTATCAGGCAGATAAAATATGCGCAAAGAAAAGGAGATTTGACAAGATTTACCGCGAACTCTCATGAACTCTCATGAGAGTTTTTTGCATTTTGCTCAGCTGATCGAGTTAATTCCCTCATCAAATCTCGTGTAACTCTTATTCTCGTTTGACCGGAGTATGAGAATTGAGAAAACTCTCATGCAAACTCTCATCCTCGTTTAATCAAGACTAAACCTTCAGTAGCGGCTTAACTCATGAGTAGCAAGGCAGAGCGCGTTAACCCCAAATGTCACTCAGTCGACATGCTTTCTTTTTATTCTGGAATTAATCAATAAAATAAAAGCAACACATACCATTTAAGAAGACAGTGTACACAGATGGATAGGTCAGTTCTTCACCACACAGCAAATTGATGTCCTATTTGGAATACACAGTCTAAGGTTTAAGCCGAGCAGTTATAGCCTTGGCAATGTCTCAAGCTCGCTAATAACTCATAAGAAAAACACAAATCAAGTTATCTTGAACGCACAGTAATTGCAGTTCTATTGCAAGGTGGGATAATTTGCGTATTTACGTGAAGGAGGTACGTCAGTGTTTGAAATTTCTTACGCCTTGGTGCTGTCTAGTCATGATGTACTACTCGTGATGCTCTAGCTATGTACGTCCTCAGATTGTGTAAAACCAATTGTTGCATGAGAATTATGCATTTTGAAAATATACCACCTTCACTAGGTCAACTGACATTATTACGTCATTCTAAAGTCGGTATCTGTATCGGATAGATGTTGCAAGAATAACCGGTAATTTCCGTAACTTAAAGTGGCTCTGTACCTCTACTCCCATGTTGTAAGCCAACCTGATGAGAGGAAGCTCTTCTTGGTCTGTGGTGACGTGAGTCATTAAGGCAAGATTCTTGACCAAACCACATGACTAAAAATAAAACAATAATAATAATTTACTTACTGTCCTTTACACAGGGGTGTGGTTGCCCAATTTACCCAAGCCAGAGGCTCCTGATACACGTGCTTGGCGAGGCAGGGGAATCGTGAGATTACGAACATGATTAGCATTTCTATAGCGCAAATGTACAACGCTTTACGCGCTATGCGCTTTACATCGAGTATTACGCTTACCTAATTACACACTTAGCCTAGATTATTTTATCTTTACAACAATTGTGATATTACTCTCTTAACTGTCTTTATCCTAACCCACCCTGTCAACTTTCCCTGTGGGAGGAAACCGCAGCGCACGGAGAAAACCCAAGAAACACACACACGAAGCACAGGAAAGAACCAACGACAACTCCACTTACATCAGTAAAAA